CAAATGGATCTAGCAGATGTTTATGGGATATTTTACCAAACACAAATGAATGTACCTTACTTTCAGCATCTCAAGTAACTATGTTCCAAATGTAACACATATGTGAACATAAAGTGTTAACAGATTCAAGAAAATAGAAATAACACTCGGCATTCTCTCTGACCACAACATATTAATCCCAGATATCACCAACAACAGAAGGCTATCAAACTCATGAAAACTGCAAATCCATATTGAATGAAAACTGAGTCAAGAAAGAAATTAAGGAAAAAAAATGAAAACTTCATAGAATTGAATGAAAATGAAAACACAAGGAACCCAAATGTATGTATGGTTCACAATGAAGGTGGCTTTAAGAAACAAGTTCACAGAACTGAGTTCATTAAAAGAAAAAAAAAATGGAGTGGTCTTATATCAGTAGCTTAATGGCATACCCTAACCTCTAGAACAAAAAGAGTAGTCAGCAAAAAAATAATCAAACTCTGAGCAAAATTAATAAAATAGAAACAAACAAATGTATAAAAAGCAATATAAAGAATCAATGAAACAACAGTTGATCCTTTGAAGAAAATCAACCTTGACAAAGAGTCAAGTTAACTAAAGGGTGGAGGGAAAAGACCAATTCAGAAATGAAAAGAGGGACATAACAGCAGATACCAAGAAAATTCAAAGAATCATAAGGACATTGTTTTAAAATGTATTCTCCAGTAAATTTGAAAATATAAAAGAAACGAATAGTTTTTTCTTCATATACAATTTAATAAGGTAAATAGATCAGATAAGCAATTTGTACAGCCCTATAAACAACAGTGAAATTGAAGTAGCCAAGAAAAGTCTCCCAATCAAAAACACCTAGGGACCGATGGTTTTAGAACCAAATTTTACCAGACTTGCAAAGAGTTACACCAGTACTCCTTAAGTTCTCCCACAAAATAGAAAGAGAAGGAACATTGCTTAATTCTGTTTATGAGACCACCAGCTACCCTGATCTTTGATCCACATAAAGACTCAACAACAACAAAAAAGGAGAATTGTAGACCACTTTTCCTTAGGATAAAAATTATCAGTAAAATATTTGCAAATCAATTACAAGAACACATCATAAAAATGATCATCCAACATCAAGTAAGCTTCATCACAGAGATGCAGGGATGATTCAACTGTCAATGTAATCTGCCATATATACAAACTGAAAGAAAAAAACACATGAATGACCATCTCATTAGATGAAAAACAAGCTTTTGAGAAAATTCAGTAACCTTCTTGATAAAAGGATACAAGGGGCATGACTAAACATAATAAAGATAAAATACAGCAAGCTGATAGCTAATATCAAATTAAATGGTGACAAACTCAAAGCAATTACACCCCAAATCTATTCAATATAGTACTTTACGTTTTATCTAGAGAATTTGTCAACTAAAGAAGATCAAGGGGATACAAATTAAGAAGAGTGTCTTTATTTATCATGGCTCAGGGAACTCTGCAAAAGAAGGGGCAGAAAGAGTGTAAGAGCCATCTGGGACTGAGGACACCAAGAAAATAAGGCCTTTTAGACATAACGGGAGTGATACAAATATGAACTCAGAGAGACTGGGGTAGCATGCCCAGGGCCTGCACAGGTTTCAGATAGATGTGGTCCCAAAGCAGGGAGATAAAGGGACAAACCCCATCTGTAATCAAGAAGATATCTCCAATTGATAATCACTTGCAAATGAAAAATTACTTTTCTGCAATGTAGTCTCACCTGTTATACAATCCACTCTTCCCAGGAAGCCTCCTGCTCAGCAGAAAATGACTAGCACAAAATGAACAAAATAAACTTTTTTGGGAAGTTTTATTTTGTAATCTCATAATGCTCTTCTGTCTGGTATTCCTCCTCCTCCTTCTCCAAATTCTAATCCTTCTCCTTTTCCTTCCCATACAGGTCTTTTGCTTATCTACTATGGTTTCTGATTTTGTGATTTTTGTTGGATTTCTGTGTTTGCTAATGTGTGTGTCTCTGCATTTATATGTGAATTTTATTCAGTTCTTTGCTTTTCTATTTATTTAATTATTTTGTTCTATTCAGGTTTGTTTATTTTTATTTTTATCTCACTTTCTTATAAGATTTATTTTTTTTGTAGATGCCTGTTTGTTTTCTAATAAAAATAAGACCAGGAAAGAATGTGAACTTGGGTGGTGTGAAAGTAGGGATAATCTTGAGAAAAGGGGAACCATATTCAGATTATATTGCATGGGAAAAAAATGTGTTTTTAAGAGAAAACAGTAAAATGAGTCATAAAATAAGGTGAGCCATAAAAAATAAGTTATAAAAATAAAATGAGTCATAAAAACTTAAGAAAATAAAACTATCAAGAGTAAAAATCAAGTATATAACATTAAATATGTCCAAAAGTTTTTTAAAATTATTTTCTCTATAATTTATAATCTTTGATAAAACCATATGTTGTAAGTTATTTTGTTGAATATCGAACTTTTTTCTCAGTTCTGAAAACATAAAGTGGGCCTTCATAATGCTAGTAACTCCACCACCACTAACTTAAATTAAGTCTGATTATTGGTTATAAAAAAGCAAGCTGTGGAAAATAATTTTTCTTTATTTCACTTTGCCATTACAGCAGAGAAAGACCTAAGAGGAGCTATATTGAAAGAAGATATGGAGTTCCTAAAATAGCCATACATTAGCTGCTTCCATGACATGATCATTTAAAGCATTCCCTTCATCACTGACAATAGGTATGTTGGATTGGAGTAGTATATATATTTGACATATATACAATAACATATGCTTCACACAAGCCAGTACCATCTGAGAAAAAAGAACTTCACTTAAGGAATATTTCCGTCATATTGGCCTGTAGGCAAGTCTTGATTAATGATTAATGTAGGGTGGCCCAGCTCACTGTGGATGGTGAAATCCCTAGAAGGTGATCCTACACTGTATAAGAAAGCAGGCTTAGCCAGCCATGAGGAGAAAACCATTAAATAGCATTCTGAGATGTTTTCTGCTTCAGTTCCTATATTCCAGTTCCTACCTTGAATTCTTACTCTAACTTCCCTCAGTGAAAGACTGTGTCCTGAATGTTGTAAGGTAAAATAAACCCTTTCCTCTACAAGTTGATTTTTGTTCATGAAGTTTTATCACAGCAATAGAAACTTAACTAAGACAGAAATTGGTGCCAGAGAGTAGAATATTGCTGTGAACAACTTGACAATGTTGTTATATGATTGTAAAGAAGCTTGGAATTAGGGGCTGGAAAAGCCACCAATTGTTCAGAGCATCATGAGATGTTGGAGGAACATGGGAGATAATGCTTAGAGGACTGTAGGTGATGGATGCCTGGTTTCTAACATTTCAGGTCATTTCTAACTTTATCAGGTCATTTATATGATGTTTTGGACTAAGAATCTATAGAAGTGAAAACTTTATTTTTACTGGAACAGTTGAGACTAGTCACTGGAAGGAACTGAAAATTCAGCTATGGTAATTTACCATCACTGTGGGAAAAATCTCCTGGGAAGTGTTTTCTCAGCATCAGCACACAGAAGTTTTATCCCAGAGGATCTGAGAATGTCTCATTCTGACAGCTGAATTGGAAACGTGAAGAGTGTCTCATGGGGTATGGCATTGAAAGCACAAAGGGATTGAGGAGGACAGCTAAGAGTTAACACTATGAGAGTCTAGGAGATGCCACTAATAAAGGTACAACCTCAGCTGAAGTGGAGATCACAGGATAGAAGGGGTCATAGAGAGAAGTAGAAAGTTGACACCATATATCTAAGTCAGGGACCCTGAAGGGAGTCTAGGAGGGGCCAATGATGAAGGTGCAACCTCAGTTGAAAGGCAACTTCATGACTGGGATGTCTGTCTGTGAAAAAGCTGATGTATACTGGAACTTCCCTGAGCCTAGGAGACAAACTATGTTCAGGGGAGGATGGAGTCAGAGAAGTGGAGCTTCATGGTTCAATAGCAGCACAGAGGAAATTGAGTGTGTACCCGATAAAAAACACTGGAGATTTTTGTTTTGTTAGTTGTTTTTTTTTATTTTGTTTTTGTTTTGCTCTTGAGAAAGGATTTCACTGGGTAGCCCTGACTATAGCCCTGATTATGAGAGCTATGGAGAGCAAGTCATTGCACAGCACTCCCCCGTGTCCTCTGCACCAGTTCCTGTCTCCAAATTCCTGCCCTGAGTTACTGCCTTGGGTTCCTATGATGACTGACTAAAACCCAAACAAACATTCCCCTCCTTAAGATGTTTTTTGTGTTCTAGTATTTTATCACATCAGTAGGAACCTAAGAATGACAGAAATACTATACGGCAATCCTCTGCCTGGGGAACAGAGCGTGGCTCTGTGGTGAGCATTGGTCTTATCCAATTTACCATTTGAGAACATGAAGGTCAGCATGTCAGGAAAATCAGGCTGACAGACAAGATTGAGTTGATTCATGTCAATAGAATTAGAGTAGCCTGACATCAGAACACTGCATTTTTAGCTTCTTCTGAAAGATGTAGCTGTTAAACTGTTTTTCTTGATGAATTTTCTTGATTTCTTTTAAAGGAAGACTTCTAGAAAGTCAGTGCTTAAAATCATAATTGCATGGTTAAGAAGAAACAATGCAATATATGTTAGAAGGAAAATGTGCTGGAACTTAAAATATGTGTTTTGATACATAGTAAACACAGAAGATCTCTCTTAATTGTATCAAGAATATTCCTTTGTAACCATAAAAATAGCCTTGGCTCCAAAGCTACACAGCAAACCCTGTCTTGAAAACCAGAAAAAAAAAAGCCTTGGTGCCCTTCCCAAAAAGATATTTGCACTAAGTAAAGGGTTGCAGTTTCAACCAACCCTTCATTGGTCATGGACTGATTCCCAGTTCCTTCTCTATCACTTTCATGTTGTGAAGTTGGAAGTTAAAAGACCTAAGTATTACCACCATAATGTCACCATTTAATTTTCTAGTATGTAAAAGACACAATGTCACACAATGTCCAGAAGAGGGTCCAAATCAGCTTTACTAAAGGATGGGTGAATACAGCTGAAGCCTGAGGCCCAAGTGATGTTTCTTTCTTCCTCTCTGAACTGATGACTGCTGAGCTCTGGGCTCACTCATGAACTTGCCTACTCAATCATAGACTGAGGCTGGAATGTGGAAAACAAATCTTGAATGGGTCCACCCATGTGCAGGTCCTGCTGATTCTGTTTATGGCGTAAAGACTGGAAATCCAAAAGCAGGTCCAAGACAGACAGGGAAAAAGAGAAGAAGCAGAAAAGTAAGTAAACAGATACCTCCAGCAATTATCTTCCCAAAGAAGAGCAAATTTGCATGAAGATGTTCAAGTCTCATCATCTACAACAATCCCAAAAGTCACTCCAGATGTGAGAGCATCTCAGAGTACAAATCACAGGATGCCTTTGAGAAGAAAGCTCTGCAAATGTAATAGCTAGTGTATTACACAACTAAAAATGTTCCTGAGCTGACAGATTACCCAGAGCTGTGCCGCACTAGACAGATTGGAATGCCTACTTTGAAATCAGTTGATGATAGTGTTGAAATTTTATTAGAGTGAGGGAGATATAATATATTACATATTTTTACAATGTAAGAAAATAGAGTGTTTTAATATGGGCAAAAATCCTAAGTTCTATACTGTAAACTCAGTACCATTTTTTTTTCTTTTCTCTGATAGTGTTGGTAAGCACTCTTAACAGAAAACACAAAGAAATGTACTGTAAGATTTCTCCCCTCACTTACCTTCTTTACCAAAGCTGAATTATGAATAAGATAAGATCTTATTAAATAAAGCCAGCAAAGAAAGGCATATATTGCCCATCATGAAAATCAAGATGATATTGTTTCTCTCCCCCCCCCATCTGTTTTTCTGACTTTGCCTCCAACATCCATGTTAATGGGTCTCTATTCTGCCTGGTTCCCCAACTGTTTTGCCCTAAATAAGTTCAGATGGGCTTATATTAACTATAAACTGTTTGGATAATGGCGCAGGCCTCTTATTGGCTAGCTCTCTCTTAATTATTAAGCCATTTCTTTTAATCTAAGTATTTCCATGTGTTCTTGGCTTAACAATAATGCCTCAGCATGTTACTCTTTCCGCCAATTCATGATGTCTTCCTTGTGCCTTTCTCTGTGTCCTTTCCCCAGAAATCTCCTTGTCTGGTAGCCTTGCCTATACTTCCTGCCTCACTACTGGCCAATCAGTGTTTTACTCATCAACCAATAACAGAAACATATATAGAGAAGGACATCCCCCATCCACCCACCCAGATATGCTCACATATTCATATTTACAGATGCACATACACAAACACACATTTACACAGAGACATTCAAAGACATATACACATAACCACCAGACACAACATATACACATATATACACACATATATACAGAGACAGACACACATATATACATATGTACAGATCCACATACACATGCATGTGCACACACAAATACACATACAGGCATGCATAGATATGCATACTAACACACAGAGATATACATATGTACAGACATATACACACATCACTAAAATATACCCAAACATATACACTTATAGACATGCACACATAAAGTACACACATACAAACACTGACATATATGCAAATATATGTGCTCATGAATACACTTTCAAACACACACACATACACACACATATCCACCAACACACTAACTTACACAAACAGTTTTGAGGAGTTTTTTCCCACAGAATCACAATGAATGTTGTGAAGGCTCAAAATCATTTTACATTTACATTTTTCTACCGTCATTGTGAATCACTGAAATGTGCTCTTGTGGACTTGGAAAGACAGCATAACAGCTCCTTACACTGTTGGAGGACCTGCATCACTATCACTTCCATGTGAGAGGTCATCTGTCCATTTTCCTTTGGTGTCATTCATCAGTCCAACACATCTTCCTTCACTCCAATTAGTGAACACTGCACAATTAACTAAAGTATCTTTGTAGTATTTCTTCTCAAATTTCACTTCTTTTTTACAACATTCTGCCTATCTGAGATAAATCCATGGGCATAACCAAAATGAAGCTGTTAGATTATCATGTCTAAATGCTGAAAGGTGGCCTTCACATGCAAATTCAATGTTCTCTGTCTATTTCTCCAATTCCAGTGTCTGTTTGCACAACTTACAACTTGTTTCTACTAATTTTCTATACCATATTCAGGTATTTTCAAACTATGAGATTGTTTACTTAGCCTAACATATATTTTATAAAATTTATGCCATAATATTTAAAAAATTGTGATATATCTTTTGTGTACTAGTTTTAAAATATGTATACTTAAATAATTCAATAGGACTTCTTTCACAAAAAATTTACCAAGATTCTTTGAATATAAAATTACTTTTTAAAAACTGAAAGAAAAACCCAGAATAAATTCAGTTGTATAAACATTTCTTAGAGAAATGCTGTTTTCACTAAGGATTATATTGAAAAGTATTCCCTTACACTTTGACTAAAATTCTAATTATTAACATGTATTTCATAATGCTGGCAATGACAAAGAAACAGGAAAAGATAATTCACTACAATGTAGAATAAAAAGAATGTCTACACTATGATAAAAACAGCATATCTTTTGTTTCTTTAAGGCTGTCTTTCTAATTTAAATAAAATAACCTTATTTGGTTTAAACAAATGTTAAGTACATAGAAGTATAGGAAGCCAAATTAAGAATTTGGCATACAAACCCATGATCATTTGTACCATCGCAGCTACTGAAAAATAAATAATATTAATATTGAATACAGCCTTATATTCTTATTAGAGAATACCAATAAGTACACAAAAAATGTTGATCTTCCCAAATGCCCACTCCTTCAGGGAACAGTAATATTTATAGTGAAACTACTCAAATTTAGGTTTTTGAATAAGGAGAGATCAATACCTGACTCCAAAAGGAGGAGGAGCAGTGGAAATACAAACAGCAGGAGTCCCAGGACCACCACAAGGAGCCTGGAGCAACGTTTGACTATAGGATTGACCCAGATACGGCCAGTCAAGATGGAATAGCTCCATGAAAAAGCTTGACGGGCTTCCTTCAGCTCCTCCTCTTCATCCATCAAAAAGGCATTTTCATCTGCTTCCAGTTCCTCAAATAAATCCATGTCTTCTCTATCTAATTCGAGCCTAGATACACAGTCAAAAAGCATGTCAATTTCATCATCATCTACTGGGGTAGAGAGCAGACTGGTACTGGGAATATATGCTAGTTCAGAGATCGTCAAGGGGTCTTCTTTTCCTCTCTCTTCCTCTTCACTCAGAGCATCTGCACCCTGAGCTCTCTTCACTGGTGAGCTGACAGCCAGGGACTCAGAAACATCTGCTTTAGGCAATGGGGCACCTGGAAAAAAATATTGTTTTATAAGTTCTAAATTTCAGATTTTCTTGTTTCATAAAAGTCTTTATGTAGAACCATGTGAAATTTGACGTATACATGAACCTATTCTGTGGAATGTTGACTTTAAACAAAGTCAGGTTAGTAATAGACCTTACACTAAGTTCTTGGCTCAACAAGATAAACCTAAAATAACAGTGATCAAAGGTTGTAATTACCTTTAAGTTTGTGATTTGGTTTGTAGATCCCCAACTATGGGCAGGTTTTCAAAAATAATATGAGCAGAGATCCACCTGCTTCTGCCTCCCAAGTGCTGGGACTAAAGGCATGCACCACCACCACCCGGCCCCAAATGATTCTATCTCTGTCATGTTTACATAGAATTAATGGAACTGACCCCTTGTCAAATTGAAATTCAAACATTTAACTTTCCTTTTCCCCCTAAGATGTCATATTAACATCATTCTCATAATATAAACCATTTCAACCTTTAAAGGTGTCACGGTCTTTAAAAATTCACACACTTTAAAAGTTCAGTCTTGCCAGTGGTGGTGCATGCTGTTATTCTGAGCACTCAGGAGGCAAAGGTAGGCAGATCACATTGAGTTCAAGGCCAGCCTAGTCTACACATCTAGTTCCAGGACAGCAGGGCTACACATAAAAACCCTGTCTCGAAAAAACAAAAAACAAATAAACAAAAAAAATCAGTGTTTAAAATTTAACGTCTCTTTAAAAGTTCAGTCTTAATAAAATAAAATATTTCTAATACTCCAAAGTCTCTTAACTGTGGGCTTGTGGGTTCCTAGGGGTTGGAGAGAAGTTAAGTACTTTCATACTCCAAGAGGGAAGGGCCAAAGCACAGTTATAATCAAAACAAAATGAAAGTCCAGCAATGTGAAGCTTAGCGTCAGATGTCTGACTTAGGATCTTCTGGGCTCCAAAGGTTCTGGGCAGCTCCACTCCTCTGGCTCTACTATACACAGCACAGGTGCCATGTCTAGGCTCAGGGCAGCTCTACTGCACATCTACTACTGTCCTTGGTGGGCATTCATGGTATTTGTATCTTCAATATACTGGTGTTTCCCCAGGTACAGTGAGGCTGTACTGTCACTAATGGTTTCTTCTGGCCTCTCTTCTGAGATTCTGATCCCACCACATGGTACCAAACTTCAATTTCTCTCTGACGTCTTCAGACCTACACTCTGACCTGCAACTGAGGCTGTTACCTTCACAAATTGCCTCTCCCTGTTTCTCACAGTGTCAAGCCTCAGCCGCTCCCCATGGCCTCTTCATCTCTTCAAAATTACTACCACCAGGAATACAAATTACCAAATCTGGCTTCTGTCATAAGATCTGTCATAAGATACATCCTTGAAACCCTTCAACCACAATTTCGGTTTGCTAACTCTAAGAATACTTCCTAGAAGATTTTACCTTGATGCTAGTCTGTTTGTAACCACAACTAATTCTTTACCTCCCCCCGAGCCCCCACCTGACCCCACCTAACCAGTATCAACTGTACTAACAAAGCAAAGATTTCACTACTGTTTTTCTGGTTTCTTGTTAATGACAGCCAATTTTTCAACTCCAGTTGACCAGAAACATAAACTCTTAACTAAAAATATCACATAAATGGTCCTGATAGTCTTTGCTTCTCTCCAATACTTCATAAGCATGGCCTCTGTCACCTGCTTTAAGCCTTATCTTCCAAGCTCCCAAACAGCCTATTAATCTCTGTGGCTTTTCTAACTCAAAGTTCCCAACTCCTTCTATAGTCTTCTGTCTCTCTTAGGTTTATATTGATGTGAGGAAAGATTCATTTCATCTTAAAACTCTCAGGTTATAGTCTATCACTGAATGGAGCCAGGGCAGGAACACAAGGTAGGAACCTGAAGACAAAAGCCACAGAAGAATACTGCTTGCTAAGTGATTTCTCGGAACTTTGCAGCCTACTTTCTTATACTGTACAGAACCACCTGTCCAGGAGCTTCACCACCAATAGTGGCCTGGCCCTGTCACAGCAACCATTAATCAATAATTAAGTAACAAAATTATCCCTAGATTTGCCTATAGGACATTTGTATGTAGGACATTAATTAAATTGAGAGTACCATTTCAAAATTGACCCTAGCTTGTATCAAGTTGGCATAAAACTAACTAGAATAGACTCTTTTGACAATGTTGAAAGTGAAAAAGAAAACAAAAATCACAACAAAAGTCACTGTTTTGAGGTGAAGTCCTGAGAATTGGAAAAGCTGTGAACAGAGATAAATTAAAACTTTTTCTCACCATTTTCTTCTGAATTTGTCTTATGTTTAAAAATTTGCCTTATGATTCAAACCATCTCAAACATGATTCTCTGTTAATTTCTCCTGATGGCACCTTTGCTTGACAGCTATCATTCTTTCTTGTGGATCTGTTTGTTATTATACACAAGCACCATACTTGTGGTTTTATTTTGGCCCCCTTTCCATTAAATCTTTATGTTATAAAAGACAAGGACTTGAGATTTCTACTACAGAAACAACTACATATGATGGTGAAGGAATATAATGTCAAAGCATTAGAATTCCAACAAGTATGAAATGTGAGAAAAATCTCACTATTCATCAGACTCTAATAAAACTAGAAATATGAAAGTATGGACTATAGTGCATACTTTCTCTATTTTCTAAGGTAAGATTATGTACATAAAACAAAATAAATGGGGAAATCACGACAATTGAGCAATGTTTTCAAAATCAAAATTTAAATTCAGTGGCTCATGACACATCATTCAAATCTATTAAAATATAATAATTGACAATCTTGTTCAAAATCCTTAAATATGCACTACTCAACGATATGCAAAATGAATATAAATATGCAAAATTTAAAAGAGAACAATGTGAAAGTGTAACTGAACATAACAATAAATGAAGGACCATGATGACATTCTTTAGTAAGAGTCCTAAATATCCAAACATTCAGTTCTCCTTTTAATCTAAAATTTAATATAATTTAACAATTATTATCTACAAATTTTCAGAAACAACAAATGGGGAAAGATTACAGGAATAATTAAAAAATAAAAATTATAAAAAATATCCAATTATGTTATATAATTCAGTGTTAAAATGATGTCCTAGATCAATCTTAGGTGCTTATAGCTAAAAGTGAAGCATTTGAAAAGGCTGCATCCTGTGTGGTGCCTACTATGTATGCTACAGTCTGGTAAAAGAGATGGAGATTTTTAAGTGGCTGCTAGTGGTTGGGAGAATAAAGTCATTAGTAAGAGTAACAAACAAGATTTTAGTTCAGTGATACTATTTTGTGTGATGCGGTTCTTATATGGACCAGTCTAGATTCATAGCATGTACAGCACAAGGACTGAACCCTAGTCTAAACTCTGGGATTCATTTTGTGTCATCTAGAAAAATGTATCACTCTGACAATGGACGCATATAGGTATGGTTGTATTTCTTATGTTTTTAAGCAGCCTAGACATGCAAGACTTCCTCAAATAAAACAAAACAATAGTTGTATAGGTCCTCAAATAGGAACTCATCACATGCTACTTATATTGTCATAAAAATACACTTAATTTCAACTAAGGCATTTTTATAAATATTACTAAGCTATGACAAAGTCCAGCTATTTCTCAGAATAAATTTTACTGTAACCATTCTCTGAAAACACACACACACACAAACATATAAAATTACAGCAGCATTATGGATAAGGATCTGACTTTGAATTCTTGTTTCAATTTCCCAGATCATAAAATAACATAAAACAGGATCATTATGGAGAAAAGAAATTAGTATGACATCAGTCTGATGGTGGTTATTTAGCTGATTATTTTCATTTTACTCACTTTAATTTTACTCATCTACATGCTTCTCTCTGTGTGTGAGCTCACAGAGGCCAAAGGAGGGCCTGGTAGTCTATTTCAATAAAATTCTCAATTGAAGATTAAAAACAAGGGGAGACTCTGTCTCACAGGAACACATCTGAGATCTGAAATCCACATAATGAGAGGCAGAGAAATGTTTTGATTGTTCATTATGTCTAATAAGCATCATCTCTCACTACTAAGCAATCTGCAGTGGTACACAACAGCTTTCCTCTTGTATCTTTTGAATAAAGAAGTTAATCTTTATTATTTTGTTGTGCAAGAGAGCTTGGCCTTCCATTTCCCTTCTCACTTACTTGTTTACACTCCTCATTACCTTACATCTCTCCTTCCTATTTTCTCCCTCTCTACCTTCACTCCTTATGAAAAATAAAAATGTATGCCACGTGCATGCTTAGCTTCTGCCTGGCTCACCAGTAGTGAGCTTGTAGCTGGAAGCAGCCACACTTATCTAGGCATAGGATGACAGTCCAGGGCAAAGCACGTACCAGCATTTCGAGGTATGACCTTGGAGCCATGTTTCAGCAGACGAACAAACACATTACTGCTACAGTGGTTCATCATGTGCAGGTGGAGGCTTCGTTGAGTCCGGATCTTGACCAAGCATTTTGCCATCTTTAATATTATGATATTCCTAAGGCTCTGTTGTCAGTTGTGGCCCTGAATATATGCAACCAGCAACAACAGCTTTGACCTTTTGCTCACTATCCATTCTGTTTCAGAGGACCAAGGCACAACACACTGAGATAGAATCAAATGTCAGGTTCTTAATGTGGCCAACAAAAATAACTCATCAGGGATAGACATTGGGCAAGGAGGGAGGGAGAAGATTCTATTTATAAACTCACACCCCTCCTCTGATGAACAGTAAAAATTTTATGCCTAAGTCCTCACTTAGTTTTTTTCTAACCCATCTAAATCAATGATCGCTAACAAATATCAAAAATACCTACCATAAAAATAAAATTTACTAATTCTCCATTGGCAGAAACAATCTACATTTAAGTGTTTAATACATTCCCATCATATTCTAGAGCAGATTTTACCAATAAAAAATAATGCAAAACACAGTCTTTTTAAATGGGAAAAAGTACTTAAGCAGTAAATTACAATTGTTTTTAATAATGTGTTTTATTTGAAAACAGGATATCCTAAATAGTATTGCTTCAACATGAAATAATTTATTAAGCAGTAGTTCACATTTTCCACTGAGACTGATGTGTATTCAGCTGGGGCCAGCCACACTCCTGGTTGTTTGTGGCAGGCACATATGGCAAGTAGGCAGGACTGTGTTCCTTGCACCAAAACGGTGAGTTCTTTACATACTTCCTTTCCATCCTGTCACCGTGCCAACTCTTCATTCGTATTACAGTCAAGGCTCATGGAGAAATTCATGAAAACAATAAGAGGTAACACCATATTGAACCTTGGCATTCAAGCAATAACAGTTTGACTAAAATGTAAATTGACAGCTGTTGGTGCTTGAATTACGAGCTATAATGTGTTTTAAAAGCAGGAGTCAAGTATCACATTCTCCTTACATTTTGAAACTTGTGCACTTGTCCATATGACAGAAATGTGCCTGCATTCTAGCATGGTCACTAAGGGCACAAACATTCTCATTTTTAGAACATGATGAACAAGTGATATTTTTTAACTGATAAATACTACAATGGACCTTTCATTTATGTTTTTGCTTGTATGTTCCTTTGTCTCTGTCATTTCTAGAGTTTATATACTATTCTTCTGTGGTCTTTGAAGGAGTTGAAGACAGATAGTTATGGTTATAGTTTTCCTTAGTTAGGATTAAAGATAATTTACATAGACTTTAGACTCACAAAGATAGAATAGATGATGAAATATTTTCTTAAATCTTACTAAATGTTAATGAACTAAATATTGTTAACTGTGATTCTTACTTGATAACTGTTGTGTAATATATTTTGTTATGTTAAGGTTAAAACCATTTTTTTATTTAGACAGAAAAGAGGAGATGATGGGAGATGTCATTCTGTAAATATCTTTCTCATACTGGTTAATGAATAAAGCACTGTTGGCCAATAAGAAAGCAAGACAGGCAGGACTAGGAGACAAGGAGGAAAGAGGAAGTAGTAAGGAGGAGTCAACATGGAGAGACTGGAGAACAGAGGTCCAGGCCCACTCTCTCCGGTAACATAAGACCATGTGGAAATACTTAGATTAATAGAAATGGGTTAATAATTAAGGCAGAGCTAGCCGATAAGAAACAAGTACCTGGCCAACAGAATTATATCAAATACAGATTCTTGGTGTGTTAATTGGGGCTGGCTCTGTGGTGGGACAAGACCAGCTGCGGGAGGAAAAACTTACTTATTACATATGGAGCCCAACATGGCTAATAAGAACTTCCATTTGAGACTTAACAGAAACTTAAAAGGGTTTTAGAAATCAAAAAACAGAAAAAAGCAAGGCTTCTTGGTAGCAGCATTTTTCTCAGTTGGACTGTTTTGCTAGATTCAAGCAAAGATTTGCGTGGCTCCTTTGAGGGAGGTTTCCTGACTCAGCACAAGCGGCCATCATAGATTCATATATTTATTCTACTTCTAATAGCTAACTTACTGACAAAGATTTTTACAATGTCAGTAGTTTTTTTCTTTTCTTAGGAGACAAAGTGTTTACATTTAGAACCATCATTGGGAATTCTACATTGTTAGATTTCATTATGAGACTAAAATTAACAGAATTTACAGATAGAAGATTAGCAAAACTTAGGGAGTTTTTCAAGTCTGATATTCCTTAACCCTAAAATCCACTATTAGAAATTTATTCTGGAAAGAGTAATCCGAATTTTTGACAGTTCACCAAGGCATCGTTTATTATACTAATAAAAGCATCAACCTAAATTTCCAATTGGAATATAACTCAATATATGTGATATTTCAGACATTAAATTTATGTTTACAGAAATTTATTGGTGTGAGAAAATGCCTACAATGTAATACTTAATGAAGAAAGTATGCTTATATAAGCAGAAGAAATTCAACCATTTAATCATGCCCTCAGGAAGTAAAATGGGAGCCTAGCACCAATTCTGAAAGAGTGTGGTGCACTATAATGGGAGGTAGAAGTCACACCTGCAGACATCACAGGGGCCTCCAACTCCTTCTCATGGGTTGGTAGTTCCAGGAGCAGTGATAAATCTTATGTGAAACAGAGTGAAACAGATTTTAAATTTGAGTCTTGAACAGAAAACCTCAAAATTGCAAACACCAAATTATCACACAATAAATTAATAACTCTTTAACCATTTTCAACTCCCCTTTGGATATAATTCTGAATAAAATTTCCATACACAAAATAGATGTATAACAAAAAAGTAGGCCCTGGAACAATGACATTAGTCATTCCTCACTTGTTACCAGCAATGGTTCTTGAAGATATTATTAAAACATGCTACACACCATAAATAACTAATTTTTAAAGATTCATAGGCATTTAAAAATATTTGTGGTAATAGTTTGAAAAATTGAAAACAAAGTTTGAAAACCATTTCTAGATGAATTTCTGCCTTGTAGCAAAACAAAGAATTTCAAGGGATTAGTAAGGATTCATTTGAATGGGTCTAGAAATCACTAATGAGAAACTGTCCTTTCAACCTCTTTGGAAAGAATCGATCAATCTCATAAAGCAAATGATGCCTCCATATATATTTTAAGTTGAGACTAAAATTTTGCTAACAGGAAAACCTAACTTGATATGCATTCTTGACACAAAGGTCTAGGTCTCAGCAAATCACAAGCCAGATGTTTCTTTCATGTTCAAATAAGATAGATGTGGGATATAAACTGTAAAGTTGTCTCTATTTCACTTCTAGTTTGTGTGCCCACTTCCTCTTCTATGGTGATAAAAATAACCATCCTATGTAGTAAGCCAAGGAATTCTGAACTATTTTTGGTCCAGGCTACCAGCTGACTCTCAAATCACAACTCCAAGAGAGATCTGCAAAACTAGCTTTGCTGCAGTGATGACTTCATATAAACCACTTTACTTTTCATCATATTAGTACAACACTTGACCTGATGGATCACATGAAAGAAACAGACCTCCCAAAAACAAAATAGAAAAAAAGTAAAACATCTGAAAAAAATTACTACCATACTTTTCTTTCCCCTAACTCCCAGCCACAAAATTTCACCCATTTGCATACCTTCTTTCTTCATCATATTTTACTATTTTATTATAAATTATAATTTTAACTGAGGTGATTCTCAATATTTAGCACATTTTATTATTTGCTCAAATTTGAAAAATCAATTTTCTGCTCTACTTTTCAGACTTCATATGTAGATAGATCTTAAGCACTGCCCTGTAAGGATTCTCTGATCTTCTGCATTTATTTAGAGAGGGAAAACCAACAAGGCTAGCTTTCTATATTGTCCTTGCTACTTTTCTTCACCTTGTTGGACTCAAGGCAAATTCATATGCAACTTCCCTTCAGAGGAAGAAGAAAAAGGAGGCAGGTATGTGCAGTCCCTCTACAGATTCTGCACAGATCTTTCTTTGTTTGGAGCTCAGTGCTCCAAAAGACAGTATCAGCAGCACAAAGGATGCTCTTGAAAAAAATTCTTATTTGATATTTTATTTTAAAAACTTGAAATTCTTTTCCAGACAATTAGAAAATGAGATAGGATTATGTTCTCATCACTGAGACCAAACACCCAATTAGAAACAACTTGAGGGAGCAGAGCTTATTTTGTCTCACAGCTCAAAGAATGTGCAGTCCATCATACCTGGAGAAGGTGTGATGGGAACATATAACTACTTCTGCCACACTTCTCAGTGAACCATGAGGCAGAGTAATGCAAGACAGTGGGAAAACCTTCATCTTTCCATTGAAAGACCCACAGAGCATGGACCTTCACTCCCCAACTCAGGAAAGGCACCCCCCGCCAAAATCACTCACAAGAAGCGGTCTTGATGTAAAAGCATGAGGTCTTTTATATTCCAAGTGTGCTATGCAGGGGTAGAGGACTGAAGACCCTGAGTACAGAATTGAGGCAGTTTTTATAGGGTTACAACAAAGCCCGCGCATCGTAAACCAATCATCCTGTAGCATACAGAGCCCGCACAGTGCGGACCAATGAATTTAAACCATCTAAGCCCGCGCATTATAGACCACTCAGTTTTCTATAGCCCCAGAGGTCTGTATTTGAGCAGGCTCCTGGGTGAGGTGACAAAGCTCATGTACTCACAAGTCCTGTCATAAACAGCAAAGAATGTGACATTTTGCTTATTTGCTGGCTGGGGGCAGGGTCTGGAATTTAAGGTTTAAGCTTTTAGCTTCCTGGGGTCATTGGAGAGTTAGGCTGTATTTTTCCATCCTTACACCATCACAATGGTCTCTTGAATGCTATGTACATTTTAGGTGTTGTATGACTTCCTTAGGACACATGAAAAAAAAAATATATCTATTCACCAAGTCTAGTTTCATTAACTAGTGAATATTGGGATGACTTACAGTATGAATGAAATGTTGCCTACAGATGCAGGCAGCTGCATCACACATCCTAGTGAGACAGTCTAGGGGTCTTGATGAGGCCAGTCCTTTCTGCCAGTCAAAGGATTAAAAGGCAAGAAAAATCTCCAATGCAACAGGTAACAGCAGAGAAAACCCAGACTGCAGACACTGCAGACACAAGTAAATGAAAAAAAGCCTTTATCTTTTTTGTTTATTCTTCTCTTTTCTTTTTTCTTTCTTTCTTTTTTTTCTTTTTTCTTTTTTTCTTTCTTTTTT